ATATATGACGTCAGGATGGCGCAATTTGTTCTAAAAATAGAAAAATTGTCCCATATCATAGGTGCGGGCGAATCCCGAGACTTACGGTCTCCGTCCCCGGTTATGACTCCTGGTAAAACTTGAAAAAAAGGGTCAATACTTGGAAAGATAAGTCACACTTAGAAAAGTTGGTGACTCTTGGAAAAAATGGGTCACACTTTGGAAAAAGGGGTACACTTGCAAAACATGGTCACACTTGGAAAAATAGGTCACACTTGGAACAACTTCAATCACACTTCAATCGGTCAAAATTCAATGTCATACCGAAACCACTACTCTGTATGTCAAGTTTAGAACAAATAACACGGGAATAGCAATGAGGAATTTGTAATTTTCGATTTAGACAAAATAAGCAAAATAAGTAACATCCATTCGCGTGTTGGCTAATTATTAACAAAAAAATAACTTACTCCTTTTCAATGGGAAACTGGAAAAGGCATTGGAAAACGTTGAAGGACTTAAAAGATAATTTTTAATACCGTCCAAAATGTTAAAACACCGCTTCCCGCAGGCTCGGAGAATACTGCAATACCGCAAGAAAAATTATCCAATAACGCCACAAACCCCAATGTTCTCCTCTTCTCCGCTTTGTTAGGCGTTAGTTTATAAACGGAAACATTTCCGTGTGAACGTTTTTACGGTTAAAAAAACAACACGGTTCAGTTAAAAGCGAAAAACCCGAGTGTTTTCCCGTTTTGACAGTGAAAAAGCTATCGCGAGTACCATTGCTTTATATATAAGTCTGAGTTCCGTAGATTAGCGCCAGAAATGTTTCCAAGCTTTTTAATTAGCTTGATTTTCGGAATGATTCCGTTGACAGGTAGATGCTGTCTTTAACACGTTTCCTGTCAAGAAGCATCAAATTATTTTTACCCTGCGGTTAAGTTGACTTGGATTAAAGCTAGACCCCCTTCTGACTTTTCGCTATTCACTAGCTCAAAGTCAGTTTTCAGAACCCAATAAATCTCGTCGTGACAGTAGGAAACGATAAAAAAAGTCAAGTATATGTCAAACTAATGCGTTGAAATAACCATTTCACAGTACTTTCCAACATATCCCGGAGCGCATGCGCACTGATAATCACCATCTTCGTACTTGGCCACACATGTTGCATTGTTCATACCAGGAATGCAGGAGCAGGGATTCTGTTTTTACCAAAAATAGTTCGTACTTGTTCAATTGGAAAAAGTTAGTTCTAAGAGACAAAGCTTTTAAAATCTCCCATTTAAATTGGCGTCACCTGGTCAGTTAAAAAACTAAAGAGACAACCCTGTTATGGCCGGATTTAAATACGTATTTCGTCTCGACTTCGCAATTCGTCTCGTAAAAATACGAACCATGATTCCATCAAACTCGTCAGACATGCCGTCGAAGTATTAGGTAACAGGTACTCGTTGTTTGATATTTCTCTAGTTTCAACCCGTTCAGTAAGAAGGAACAATTTTATAAAAGTTTACAGTTTTAGTGTGTCAAAAAGGTGGAAGAAGCATTTTCTTCTGATTTTATCGTTTTACGTTTGTCTTGTATCGGTTTGGTAGTCAAAGATAGAGTAAATCGTAATTGAGGATACCTACTTCACCCAAGAGTGATATGCTAAAGGTCCTAAACTATGTGTTTAAATAACCTTTTTTCAAGCCTCTGTTCGACAAAACCATAGCGTTTTCCTTCGGCATCAACCTAATGAGATACTTCCTCCACACAACCTCAGAGTTGAACATGACACTCGGTGTATTTTCCGAGCCTGATTCTGATCGAGCAATAAAACATCGTGCACAAACTGCATGCCGTGAGTAATAGACAATGGCGCTTCTGGCTGAATTTTAAGAAAAATTTTTGATCCCCTTGGGATAAAAGTGAGAACAATAATCAGTTTTTACTCACTGGAATACTGAAGTGATGGCAAAACGGGCTACCGGTAAAATTGTCCGAGTGGTTGAACTTGTCAGATGGGAGCAGTTCACACAACAGTTTCCCGTTGATATCAGAGAATGCAGCCAGGTTACAAGAAAAGCATGAAGTGATTCCTAAACAGGCAAACCCACACTCAGTGTCGTTTAGGACATGCTCTAAGCCAAGACTGGTAATGTTCAGGTACGAAAACTCTTCGGCCTTGAAGCTGATAAAAGACACGCCTTCAGGAGTCCGGCCGAGACCTTTAGAAGAAAACTAAGAAAGTCAGTGACAAGAAAAACAAGAAAAAACTCCACTTAATGTGTCTGGATGGGGTTTAAGGAAGTTCGCGCGAAAGTTTTCCAATATTGATTTTTTTTCTGAGACTTTTAACTGTAAGATGATAAGTTAGTTATATCAGAAATGTAAAAAAAAATGGGGGGTCACTGACTTCGTTTTGGAGAGAACATGCCCGGAAGAACACCCTAAGTCTGAAAAAGTCGGGCTTCGTTAGCGAATAAGGGCACAGTGTCTGTAAGCCCAAAATTTTTGCAATTAGATCTTTGAAGTGAAATGTTCTCTGCCAAATATTGTTTAAGTGGGCCTATTGAGTGAATTTAGTCAACTGGTGAGGTTCCTCAAAGAACAAGTTCACATTTAGCGACCATAGTTTCACGCGCCTTGCAGCCGCAAGATGGCATGATTCGATGTCCTGTGGAGAGAAATCTCGCAATTTTTTAAAACTTCCCTCATTGAATTTTTGTTCATTTTTGGACAATGGGGAGATAATTGTATACAAAATCTGTTTCTGGAAAGAAAAGTAGGGTTCACCGAACGTCCAAGATCGTTAAATCCAAGCAAAGCTATGGCGATGGCCATCTGCCCTATCATTGTTCATTTTACAAGTGAATATATGAAATTTATATATTTGAACTGCGGAAAAAGATATGAAGACTGATCATCACAGTTATACACACAACTTAAGCAGATGTGAAATTAAAGCCTGAAAAAAATCCAGACCTGAACGGAATTCGAACCTCTGACCTCTGCGATACCGGTGCAGTGCTCTACCAACTGAGCTATCAAGCGAACTGGGAGCTGGTCACATTGTGAGTTCGTAATATACTCGTAGATGGTGAAGATTACAAGTGAATATATGAAAGATCATATATTTGAACTGCGTATCAGGATAAGATATAATAAAACGAATTCCAGGGAGCCATTCAACTCATCAGGAAATTACACGTACAATAATATAAATCACATAGTTGATACGTTTTCTTCATTACTCCATTTTTGTCAAAAACGTATTCGTAATCTAGTAATTATAAAGCTGTAAATAGAAGAGAAGAGCAAAGCCTGGTAGATCTGTAGAATGAACTATTGTTATTAGTGTTTTGTCTTGTCTTTTTTGTTGTGCTTTTTGTAAAATTAATACTACAAATGTTTTACATTACATGTAAAAATCATTATAGTCACAGTTATAGTTACCATGTCGATATATG